GTGGGCGTGGGCGTTGGCCACACCAGACGCCCCACCTCCCAGACTCTCGGGCATTGCCTCTAGCACGGGCAAGGAAATCGTCTTCAATAGCAGTGTTGACATGATGTAATCAATGTTCGATTGCACCACGTCGTCCGACACGTCAAATTCCACCGTTCCTGATGGCGAGGTGGTTGGCACAACTTTGAAGACAGTATTGAGGACACCACCGTTCTCCACCTGAACGGCCCACACCACAATTGCTGCCACCACCGACGTCAGCGTCACTTCAAGTGCCATTTTGTTGTCTGGAAGGTAGAAAAGGTGGTCAGCGAACTAATCATTCACCAACTAATTCAAATCCATATGGTTACGTGTAAGATCAACTGAGTGGCCATGAACCAAGTACTGATATAATTACTAGAAACAATAGTCAGATGAACTGAATTCAGCTCACTTGTGCATAAATGTTGCTACCTACAGAAAGGTAAGAAAAAAAATCGGAATTACAAATGAAGAATGTTGATTTGTAGACGCATGTACCAAGGCTTGTGTAACTTTATGGAAGTGCCACATCAATACCTCCAATTTATGGGTTGCACTCGCTTCAGTTACTGAGGAGCTCATGTATTAGATGAATGCAATTGGTAGAAGGGCAATAAAAATATTTTTAGCATTTGTTTTGCAAATTTGGTAACGAAAACAACTGACAACTTATCAACAGATTCTGGCAGGTGTGTGGCGAGAAAAATACATTGCTCCCACTAAAGCCGTTTTCCCGCGTTAACCGTTTGTGCCAACGTTGAATGATGACAGCCCTAGCCTTGATCAGACATTGATTTCGAACCTCAATATCGGCAGTTGTAATCACTTGATGGAAATCGCGTCGATTCACGCCCACAATTGGTGAGTCCGGCTTTGACCATTCACAATCGCAAACTTCTCCTGCGACTATTCAATTGGCCGATGTGGCAGATCTTATCCATGAAGAGACCAGATCGGCCCACGTCTCCAAAATTAACCCCAGACTGTTCCGTTGCTCAAAAACGCATGCAAGCATGAGATTTACTAAGGACACAACTTGAGATAGCATGCATGGGCGGTTATTTTCTTCGTTCATAAATCCGTCAGAACATTTAATTAGGTGGTTGGCAATCCGCACTGCTGGTTCCCTGTTAGAGATATGCTTGAGAGACAGGAGCACCAGTGCAGTCGTTTTCCACTGACAAGTCACATTTCAGCCAATTTAATCAAATTCCGAGAGCACTAAAGGGAATACGTTACAGATTAGGCGAAGCTGCAGTTGCTACTGATTAGATGTTGAGTAAAACTGCCGTTCTTGAAAAACGAATTTGATTTAAACAAACCCTCCACATTTGAGCTCACTTTTTAGTTTGTTTGCAGTGAAAGGTCTAGTCTGAGTGCGGTGGCGTCACAGCTCTACTTTTGAAATGGTTCCCATGTCCACACTCAGACGAGAATATGCGTCAGCGTGCTAAGTAGTGATACTTAGACGTATTCCAATGTGCTCTCAACAACGGCGATGCCAATTTAAGAAATGAACCCCAGATTCACCACCGATTGGAAGTGGTTCGTTAACCCTCAAGTGTATCGCTGTTCTTCTTCATAAAAGAGTGATTTGAATTGAGAGGTGGTATGAAGACTTTGTAGAGTTGGCAAATGGTTTAAATCATGTTGGAATTTCGGTGTTGGATAAGAACGGGTTTTCACACAGTGCCATATCGACTGTCAAAGCCCGAATTTCTGTAAATCCACCCACACACTGCTACACAGTCCCACATCATTGCACGAGCTCTGTCTACTTATGCAGGCATAGCTTCTTTACAACGAGACGCAGTTGCCTGAGCAGACATGTCTGCATGACAAACGAGGTCGGTGTGGGGGGTGTGTTCTGGGACAAGGAGGCGGACGGGCGAAGTACCAAGGCATCTAGTCGTGGTGCGACGCAGATGAGGGACGTGGGTTTACATTGCTGCTTACACTACAGGAAACAAATCACACCAAATAACGCGTGACTTTCCAAGCATTTGTAGATCTGACGCGCAGGGGCAGTCGGTGGCTTGGGAGGCACGCACAAACATGTTATGCTCGTCTTCAACGCAAAGGCGCTGAATCTCGCGTCATTTAATCCACCGAGAGTGGGAGGATTGTTATTCACTATAGTAGCATCTGATCTAAAAGTACAAAAGTACATTGGGGCCGTCTATATGCAGTGCCCTTTCCATAACTCGTTAGGTGTTTCCACACATCCAAAGAAATTGCAGATATTATCAAACATGTGGCCTTTGACAACTGGGTAGATTTCAAGTCCGTTCACGTGTGGTTTTCTTCATTTTGCTAGAGCTGATATATCTCACGAGGTATCCCGGGACGTCTTTGTCCAGCTTAGCCCATAAAGTGTTGTTGTCATTTAACCCATCTAATCACAACTAGAGGTGGCCACAACAACAAGATTCCTGGAGATGACGTTGTCCAGCTAATCCTAGATATCTTGTTTTGTTTCATACATCATTCAGGCTACTTTTCGAGAGTACTGATAGTCCAATCGACTTCGGTGAAGGTGGTGGAACGACGAAAAAGTGACTGCTTAATCGTGATTCATCTTAAAGCTCCACATAGCTAATGAGAGTTGAACCCAAGCAAATCGAATGGCACCAATGCTAACAGCCCTTCTTCCTACATTCAAGATATGCATTTGGACTCCACGTGAGAAGAGAAGCTAGATACCTCTCCAAACGAGATGCAGTACACTGAGCTTGTATCCCTAAACAACATAGCTGAGGAGCGAGTGTAACATTTACCACGGTTTAGCCAATCACAACATTGGTGATGCCTGTAAGATGCATCCTGGTCACTCGCTTCCTGCTCTCACTGTGTCAATTACTCACTAAACCTGCTCTACACCCTCAATTTACTGCCTGTTGCATGCTTCAGGCCTAGCCAGAAGAACGAAATCCAGTGACAGTAAGCAGGAGC